GGGTGCGGGAGAGAAAAAGGCAGGTAGACCCTGGAGCTCACTGGCTAATCAGCTTAGCAGAATTGGTGAGCTCTGGGTCCTAGTGAGAGTCTCTGACTCAGAAGCCACGACACAGCCTTTTTGTTTGTGTGTGTTCCTGCACAGACACACAGACTGTACACTCCCATCCTAGACACAGCAAAAACAAAAAATGAGAGGCCAGCTCCTGAGGAGCAGCACCTAAGGCCGCCACCTTTGCAGGTGTGCACTCCCCAGCACCATCACACACAATTGCACAACCACACACAGGCAAATAGAAAAAATAAGATGAATTGAAAGGTAAAGAAAAATGGTAGTGATTTATTTGAGGAAGGGAAGGGCTGGGCAGGGCGGGGCAGGGTGGGGGATGTGGGAGAGGCAGGAAATGAAAGTTCACAGGTCCCTAGGGCCTGTGCCAACCTTGGAAATCAATCTCAGAGGATTCTCAGGGCCTTTGAGATTTCCCTGGGCTGGCAAGACACCGAGCCTGATGACCCTAGGTCAATGCCCAGAAGCCACAGAGTGAACGGAAAGAGCTGACTCTGACTCCTACTGATGCTCACTGGACTCCACTGGTCTTCTGTCCTCCATCCACTCTTGGACCATGGCACCTGCGCAGTGACAACCCTACCATCATCTCGGGCCCAAATAAATAAAGAAATCAGTGTAATACTGCTTCTGAGATGGGATCTCAGTATGTAGACCAGTCTGGCCTTGAACTCTGAGATCTGACTCCCTCTGCCTTCTGAGTGAATAAATGTATTATTATTATTATTTTATTATTTATTATTATTTTTTAAAGCACTCTGAAGCTGAGGCCAACCTGGTCTTCAGAGTGAGTTCCAGGACAGCCAGGGCTGTTACACAGAGAAACCCTGTACTGAAAAAAATGAAAGAAAGGAAGGAAGGAAGGAAGGAAGGAAGGAAGGAAAAGGTTTTCTAGTATCAGGTCATGTGTGAGGGTCAAGGTAGAAGAGGGAGTGAACTGGCTGTGGCCCAGCATCTCCCAATTTGATGACGCTCGCCATTCCAAATGCCCCATCTGCTTTCAAGAAAGGCTGGTAATTAATTAAAGCAAGCAATTAGCTAAAACAAGCTTTTTAATTGGTGTACATAGACTTCCTCCCGGTAAGGTGGGGTTCTAGAGGTCAGCGTCTGATGTGAGGAAAACAAGGTTTTTATAGCTCAGGGGTGGGGGTTCCTGAATGGGGGAATGGAAGGCAGAATAGGCAGGGTTTCAGGAGCAGAACATAGGAGTAACAAGTTAGCTATAAGGACCTCCTGGAACAAAGACCTGGGTTTGTAACAACAGGTAGACTCATGGCAAAGTAGCCATAACAACCCTTTTGAAACAAAGGTAGGCTTGTAAAATGGTTATTAACTTTTTCAAACAAAGACATGGTTGCCATTCCTGGAACAGGCAATATAGAACCATTTGTAGTTAAGATTACAGATGGGGCATAGCCTAATCCTTGGGAAATAGGTTTTATCTATTATTTACGTTTTAATAAATAAAGCTTGCCTGAAGATCAGAGGGCAAAGCAGTCACACTAGACAGCCATATAAGACAGAGAGTGGTGGCACACACCTTTAATCCCAGGACTCAGAGACAGAGACAGACGGATCTCTGTGAGTTCAAGGCCACCCTGGGCTACACAAGATTGAATCTGTTTAAAAGAGAAACAGAGCTCACACAAAGGTGATCCCAGCACTTGCAGCACTAGGGAAGTAGAGACAGAAGTGATATGGCTGGGCAGAGAGAGGAATATAAGGGGAAAGAGACAGGAACTCAGTGGAGTGTGGAGTCTGAGGTTGGAGCAGAGCATTGCCGGATCTCCCCTTTGTTTGTCTGAGCCTTGGTAGAGGTAAGGTCTCTCTAGTGGCTTGGCTGCTTTGCTTTTCTAATCTTCAGCTTGAACCCCAGTCTCTCTCTCTCTGGGTTTTTATTGTTTGTGCCATAAGGTTTTATCATAAGCAGGAATAAACTACTTTGTCTTTACTATAAGGTTTTCAAGGCTAAGATGGAGGCAGGTGATTCTCTGAGTTCGAGGCCAGCCGGGCTACACAGAGAAACCCTGTCTTTTTTTTTTTTAAATATTTATTTATTTATTATGTATACAATGTTCTGTCTGTGTGTATGTCTGCAGGCCAGAAGAGGGCACCAGACCTCATTCCAGATGGTTGTGAGCCACCATGTGGTTGCTGGGAATTGAACTCAGGACCTTTGGAAGAGCAGGCAATGCTCTTAACCACTGAGCCATCTCTCCAGCCCCCAACCCTGTCTTGAAAAATAAAAACACAGTGAAGTAACCCAGAGACACAAAGACAAATATAATATATACTCACTCGTAAGTGACTTTAGACATTAAGCAAAGAGAAACCAGCATACAGTTCTCAATCCCAGAGAACCTAGACAACACAGAGGACCCTAAGAGAGACATACATGGATCTAAGCTACATGGGAAATAGAAAAAGACAAGATCTCCTGAGTAAATTGCCAGTGTGGGGACCATGGAAGAGGGTAGAAGGGGAGGGCAGAGGAAGGAAGGGGAGTGGAGAAAAATATATAGCTCAATAAAAACAATAATAAAAAAGAAAAACAAACAAAAATTGGAGGGGGGGGGGGGGGTCCAGGACAGTGATTGAACGGAACAGGACTTGCTTGGCATACACAAGGCTGTAGGGGCTGTTCTCAGCACCATGACAAAAAAGTATTTGAAAGTCATCTTTGATGGGACTCATCCACCTGTAACCCCAGTGCTCAGAGGCAGGGGGATTCAGGAGTTCGAGATTGTCCTGAGCTAGAGAGTAAATTTGAGGCCATCCTGGGGCTATAAGAAACACAGACCCTGCTGAGTAGTGGTGGTGCATACCTTTAATCCTATTAAGGAGGCAGAGGCAGGCGGATCTCTGAGTTTGAGGCCAACCTGGTCTATAAGAGTGAGTTCCAGGACAGGCTCCAAAATCTACACAGAGAAACCCTGTTTTGAAAAACAAAAGAAGAGGAAGAAAAAGAAGGAGGAGGAAGAGGAGAAGGAGGAGGAAGAGGAGGAGGAGGAGGAGGAGGAGGAGGAGGAGGAGGAGGAGGAGGGAGGGAAGTCCAATTTCAAATGTAAAAATTACAAATAAACAGGAAAAAAAATTGAAGAGTTGTCTGAACTTTTTTTTTATTTATTTATTATGTGTACAGCATTCCTTCCATGTGTGCCCGCAAGGCAGAAGGGGGTGCCAGGTCTCTGAACTTTGAAGGGCAAGAATTTCCCCAAGTCAAGGTGGCTGTCCTTTCTTAATCTGGTTGGTTCCTCCCTCAGGAGCGTGGAAAGACGTGTAAGAATAGGCCCAGCAGGAAATCCAGGCCCTAAGTGCTGCTGGGTAGCCCTGGGCTGCACAGTTTGCAAGTGGGAGGGCCTGGGAACGTGCTGGGCTTCAAACCTCCAGGGCAAGCCTAGCCCCGTGGGGGTTGTGCAGCTGGTGTGAATAGGAAGCGGGCTTTGGGGATGGCTCTCCTAGGAGCCCAGTTAGCACCCAGATCTTTGGCTCCAGCCGGCCTGGAAGGGGTCAATTCAGGGTAGTCAGCTAGTAAATATAGACCCAGGGAAGGAAGCCAGGAGGTTCTGCCCGACAATGACCTCTTCCTGAAGGCTGAGGAGGGTAGGGAGGTCTTTCCAGGGTAGCCAACACCCTGGTCCAGGAGCATCCTAAAACTGCAGGAAGCGTGGGCTAGGGGTGGGGTCGGGGACGGACTTTAAAGGGGATCGGAGTGAGGGTTAATAGAAAGTTGCTCAAGAGATGTTCTGGGATGAGACATGAGGGCGAGGGAGAGAGGCTGCGCTCATGGGCAGCGGCTGGAAAGCTAACTTCCTCTCTTGGCCTCAGTGTCCTTCGGTGACTGCCCTCAAAGGCTCCATCCAGCTTTTGGATTTAGGACACAGAGGGAGGAGTTACGAGTGCAAAGGGCAGGGTCTTCCGACAGCCCCTTTCCGCACCAGAAGATGAAGGTTGTACAGAGTTCAAATTCATCTCTGAATTCTGCAGTCACCCAAGAGGAACCGCCCCTCCTCGTGCTTAGGGCCACGCCCAGCATGATTCTAGTGTCCCGAATGGCTGAAGTCCTACACGGGTTCCACCTAATGCCATTTGGTCCAGTCAAGACCTCTGAGGCACCCCCAGTTCTGAGACAACTTCAAGAGAGACATCCCCTTAACATAGACGTATTTATTGGCAAAACCTATTCCCAAGCACGGCGGGGAAGGGCACTGGCGGAGTGGGCGGCACAACCCCTCTCTTTGGCAATGTTCAAGAAGCAGGGCAAGGCAGGAGGGGGCAGGGGCGTGACCATCGGCGCGGCAGCACCAGCAGCTCCCCACAAGACGGGGTCTGTGCTCAGCGAGTGCTTTCTTTCCTTATACTGTGTCAGTCAATCCTGGCAACTCCCCTACAAAGTAGGTACCATTCTGATCCTCGGTTCTCGGATGAGGAAACAAGCCCAGTGTGGTGATGGGGGCTGGAGGCAGGAACGGTTTCCAGAGACCCCTGAGAATCTTCAATGTGTGCTGGGAGGCAGGTATGGGTTTTCAGAGACCCCTGAGAATCTTCCATTGGGGCCTCTTGCTGACTGTTCTCTCAGATTTTTCTGTTTCATTTCTTACAATTTTGGTTCTTTCAACTCTTTTTTTAAAAAATATTTTTGTTTTGTAAAAAAATAGATCTTTATGCATGTCCGGAGCAAGCCACTGTCTCCTACTCTAATAGGTAAAACCTTGGGTTTCCCCCAAGATTCAGTTTAGTTGGGGTTGGACACAGCAGGTCTCTCACGGTGGCTGGGAACATGGACAAAACCAAAGCACAGAAGAAGCACTTAGAAAATACAGTTAGCCAGGCAGTGGTGGTGCACGCCTTTAATCCCAGCACTCAGGAGGCAGAGGTAAGATCTCTGTGAGTTTGAAGTCAATCTGGTCTACAGAGTGGGTTCCAGGACAGCCAGGGCTGCACAGAGAAACCCTGTCTCGAAAACAAAACAAAACAAAACGAAACAAAAAACAACCCACGCCCACCCAAAAAAGGAAAAAAACAACAAAAAATACTAATAAAAGAAAATACAGTTAATAAATTATAATCCTCCCGTCCTCCCTCCATCCCCATCCAAGTCCAGAGCAGACTTGTGTATGACCCCACAACGAGGTAGGGGCTTGACCTCGTCCTCTCTGTGCACTCCAGGTTCAGGGTCCTAAGTAGGTAGCTATGGAATGAATGAATGAACGAACGAATGAATGAATGAATGAGTGTCTGGCGGGTGGGAACAAGCACTTAGGAATCCGAGCCCCAGTCCCTCACTTGGTCCTTACTCTCACCAGGATGCCTCTCTGGGTGTAGAGGAGAGGGTCTTGGCGTGGGGCTGGGGCAGAGAAGGGAAGGGAGGAAGTCGTCAGGGGTATTTTTGAGCAGGGAAGGAGGATGCGTGGAAGATGGAGGACAGAGCCGTGCCCTCCAGGTCAGGAGGCCGTGGCTCAAGTCCCACTGTGTAGTCCAGAGGCTGTGTGACCTCAGGCAGGCTCAGAAAACGAGGACAGCTGTTGAATGGTCCTTTCACATTTGCCACTGGTCCTCAGATACCATGTGGTTATGTGGGCATTATTAACATGGTATACATTTTATAGAGCAGGAAGCAGAGGCCAGAGAGGTCAAGGGGCTTACATAAGGCCACGCAGCTAGCAGGGACTTGAAAACTGCCCTCTGTATCTCCCCTTTGCTATTTATAACTATGCCGTGAAGAGAGGAGGCTCAGACTTAACTTTTCCAGCATGGAACCCATAGAGTCTCGAGAGACTGTGACCCCAACTCCCTGACGTGGCTTCTGGTCATCTTTGGTCAGAAAGTCCAGTGTGCCTTAGGTAGAGTGTTACCTAGACAACCCTTCTTCCTTCCCCACCCATAAATGCTCTTCCTGGGAGGGTGGGAAAGTGGAAAGGTTGGGGGCCTGGGCTGCCCCTCACACAGGCATGGGCACTTCGTCATATTCATCCAGACCTTCCTCCTCATCAAAGGTCGCTTTGGCATCGTCACCATCCAGCTAGAGGGGTGGGAGGGAGAAGGCGTGAGAGACTGGACAGGATGAGACTTTCTGGGACTTCAGAGGCATGTCTGGAGTTAGGAATCAGCCCGGACAAGTCTTATGCCGTCCCTACAGTGTAGGGTTGGTCTGGAGGAGTGGCTTACATAGGACAGGTGGCCACTGCAGGGTGTGGTGAAGAGGACCTGCAGAAAGGTGGGCAGGGGATCCCCTCACCCTGCAGCCCCGGCCCCGCACTGCACGTCCCTAATGCCTTTAGGGATAGCAGGACTGTCTGCCCACTAGGGCATGTGGAGCACACCCTGTGCGCCTCATAATACTTTCCACCTGTCATTATTCCTCCCTGCGCTCGTGAGGCACAGAGAAATGAGGTCACTTGCTCACATACGAGGACACGGCAGACCAAGACTGAGACAAAGGCCCTGGACACAGACTTTTTTTTTCTTTCTTAAGACGGGGTCTTATGTAACTCGGGCTGGCTTTGAACTGTGTGGCCAAAGATGACCTAGAATTTCTGATTCCCTTGTCTCTACCTCCCTAGTGCTGCGTTTAGAGGCGTGTGCCTTCATATACAGTTTCTGTGGTGCAGGATTCCGTGCATGGGAGGTAAGTCTTCTACCAGCTGAACTACATCTCTATGCCCAAACCCACAGCTCTCCACTGTCTCCCAGTCCAAGATGTGCCCTCCACACTATCGGACTTTCTGCTGTGCCCCTCCATCCCCTGTCCTCCCGTCCAGGGCCCCCACGACTCACACACTGGAGTTCCAGCCCACTGAAGATGAGGGGCAGCAGGAAGCGACGCAGAGGCACAGTGAGGATGAGGACAAAGGGCAGGGCCAGAGAGGCAGGGGTGGACTTGACCACCCACAGCGCTGCCAGGCAGATGATCTGGATGACCGTGAAGAGGTGCATGCGCCAGGTCTTCACCTGTGGGGAAGCCAAGGTCAGTGGCTGCCGTCTTCTGACACTCCTGCCTCACCCTGGCTGTACGGCTTCAAAGCCACGTACCCTCTTGACAAAGGGGACATCGGGGTGGTACTTGGGTGGCTTGAACAGAAGTAAGATGCGGTCAAAGAGCTGGATGCCACTGAGGGATGTGACTCCCATGTACAGGAAGATGCCGAACAACACCGCCAGGGGGATGCGGGACAGGATGGGCTCCATTAGGATGGACAGACCTGTGTGGAGAGACACTCTCTTAGTTCAGGTCTCTCAAGGACCAGCACTAACAGGGTTTAGCTCATATTTGGGACTGACCATGAAACCACAGTGCCATGACCCTTTTCTGCAATAGCTGTTTATAGGCTCAGCGGTGAACAACTTCTAACACTATGCTTCCAAAGGGTCATACTCCTGCCTTCCACCCGCTCCCGGAGCCTAGTGGGGGCAGTCACAGTGGTCAGAGGAACCTGTCTTTCTCCTCCGTACAGAGTGCCTCCATCATCCTCTACAGAAGGAAAGAGAAGGGGAAGGAATCTTTGGATCTCCCCATCAGTGGCTACAGCGCTGTTCACCCTACTGGACTCAGCTGCTCTAGAACCCTCTAGAGTTCAGAGACTCTCCGCTTTCCTTTAGACTGGGCCGTGAGGTCAGCCCTAGAACAACTGATCTGTGCAGATAGGGAAACTGAGGCCTAGAGGCCAGGGAAGTTACCCAGCCATCAGCAGGGCAGGGGAAAACCCCATAGTCTATTACATTTCTTTTGGTTACACTTGTGGAGGCAGGGGTGGAGGAGGAGGCAGGGGTGGAGGAGGCAGGGGTGGAGGAGGAGGCAGGGGTGGAGGAGGAGGCAGGCTCTGATCTGGAAAGCCCAGCAGTGCAGTCCTGCCCTACACAAACACCCATCACAGTGTCCCAGGGCCCTTGAGCCTCCTCACTTCTGCTAGAGCCCCTCCTGAGTAACGGGGGCTGGGGAGGCATGAGCAACTGGTGTGTAGGGACCCGGATACGGAGTAGATGGGATGGAAGTTCTGTCCCCAGTCCCAAGAGAGGGAGTCAGGATTGGACAGGGAAAGATGGTAGAGGTGGGACCCCTAAGTGGGAGGAGCTCCCCAACCCTAAGACCAGGGGCTAGGAGGGAGTGGAGCAGGGAGGCAGGGGCATGGCCAGTCTCACTTACCCACAAGCACAGAGACCAGAAGCCCACTGATCCGCTGCTCCTTGACCTCTTGGACCTGAGCTGCAGCCCCTGGACCACTGGCTTTCCCCATGACTGTGAGGGCGTTAGCGTGGGTAACAGAACGCACAGTGGTGGCACTGAGCCAGGGCATCCCAAAGAGGGCAGCCACCCCACCCATGCCAACGACCAGCAGCAGGTCCAGGTGGAAGCCGGATCCCTTGATCATCTTGCGCTCTGGTTTGCTGACAATCAGCCTAGGGTGGAAGGAAGTCTGGTCAGCTGGGACCGCCTTAGGCCCCTTTTACTGTCTCCACACTGGTGTCCCTCTGAGCCTTTTGGATTTCTGTTCCCATTTCCCTTTGATTTCCTGGCTCCCTCCCTCTGGTTATTTGAGAATTCAGACATTGAGGGCTAGAAGTCTTCGGAACACCCTTAGGCATTCTTGCCCAAGTTGAGAACCTTGCCTGTTTAGGCTCCTCCCAACATCCAGCAGCTCAACTCATAGCTCACATGGTCTTCAAATGATGCCACCCCAGAGGCCACAAAACTTGGACTTGCCTCTGCTGGTCCATCCCTCTCATCAGCTAGCAGAGGACCACTGACCAGTCTCCTGTTGGCCCAGAGCCTGCTCCCCTCCCTGCCTCCAGCCCTACCTGGCCAAGTCTCTATCTTTGTTCTTACGTGGTGATCTGAGACTCAAGGAATATGAGGATGAAGACGAGCAGGGCAGGCAGGGCAGAAGCAAACATCATCCACAAGGGAAACTTGCCATACAGACCCAGAGGGTGGATGACCCAGCCCCGGGCAGAGGCATTGGACACTTTGAGGCCATCAGGGACTGAGAGTTTCTGTGAGAGGAGACAGTTGGTGAGAATGTGGGGCCGTGTAGATAGGGAGAGGTGGGGCTTGGGAATTCAAGGGCCTGGGGCAGAGTTGGGTTGAAGTGCTCAAGGACTTGCTTATATTGAACATTTACTCTGCTCCAAGCTACTTCTCTAAGCCCTTGTGTGTATCTTTTCATCTCAGTATTACAGATGAGGAAACAAGAGCTGAAAGGTTGTTATAGCTTGCCCCAAGCTGCACAAAGACCTGCCCAGCCTAAAGGCATTCTATCCTACTGCCCTGGGCAAAGGCATAAGAAGGGCAGTGTGGCCTGGGCTCTTGCTTGGGCTAGCATGGTCCTGAGGGGCTAGTGGAAGACCAAGGATGGTCTACCTGGCAGGGCATGGGGAGGGAAAGGAAGTGAAGGTTTAGGGCAGCATGGCAGAGGATGAGGAGGAGTGACCTGGGTGTAAGTGTCCTTGATGAAGGAATCCACCACGACCATTATCAGGATGGAGATGGGGACCCCGAAGTCCCCGATGACTCTACGCAGCTGTGGGCAGATGAAGCAACCAGTTGTGTCCATATCCTAAGTCCTACCCATTTTCCTTCCCATCCCACCTCTACCAGGGATTATGCTCAATCCAAGGGGTCCATCAAGAACTAATGACGGTCCTTACTCCAACTATCCCCGCCTTCCCTTTTCCTCTGCCCACTCCCTGCCCTGACTCCACTCTTCATCCCTCTCCCAAAAACTCTCTGTCTCTGGTTCCCTGCTGGATCTTGGTGCTGAGCAGAGATGGCATTGCCTGCAACATGAACTCTGATTCAGCAGAGGGTCGCTGAGCCCTGGTATTGGGAATGGAGAGTTGGGGTAGGAAGCGGAGCCAAGGGTACTGGAGAAGCTAGGGGTTGGTGAAGGTGAGGATAGGGGTGCACTGACCTTGCCAGGGAAGTAGGTGCTGTTCTTGAACTTTCGCAGCATCATGGCAAGTAAGAAGGTACCAGCCATGAGCACAAGGGAGAGGAGGGCTGTGTTGGGCACGGGACCCAGAGGTTTGGGCTTCATCACAACAGGGGTATAAATCTGTTGTAGCGGGTAGTCCTGGAAAATCTGTAACAGAAAAACAAAGCGTTGGGTTCCCTCCCAAGACTTGGCTTGAACTAGACAGTATCAGATAAGTTGACTGGGCACAATCATCCATCTGTCTTTACATCCATCCATTCATCCACACATCTAGACATCCGTCTACCCATCTAGTGCCCACACAACCGTCATCCACCCATCATCCATCCACCCATGCATCCATCCATCTGTCTGCCTTCTTCCTCACCTGACATATTAACCAGTTTGGTTTTCATGGATGAAGAACAAGTTAGCATGTGTGGAAAGGGTAGAAGGAGCAATAAGCATGTGTGTATGGGTACAAGCATCCAGCTTTGTTTGGAATGTGAGAAGGCTGGGAGACAGCAATAAGTCACAAAAAGAGCTTAGGGAGTTGGTGACAGCAACAGCATTTGCCTAGCATGCAAGAGGTTTGATCCCCAGCACAATAAACAAGCAAATAAATAGGCCACCTTTTTGTTTGCTTGTTTGTTTTGTTTTTTTCGAGACAGGGTAGCTTTGGTTGTCCTGTGTAGCTTTGGTTGTCCTGGAACTCACTCTGTAGACCAGGCTGGCCTTGAACTCACAGAGATCCTCCTACCTCTGCCTTTGAGTGCTGGGATTAAAGGCGTGCGCCAGCACCAACACCAGCTGAGGTTACCCTTTTTTTCATAGATAGTGCAGATGTGGAGGCAGGTGAAACTTTTGGAGGAGGGGGCAAACGAAGGAGGCAGAGGCCCTGTGGGGTTATGGAGGTCAAGTGCAAGAGAGGAAAGCCTAGAGCGTCCACTGTCTCACTAGGCATGATTTCCCAGGCTGTCCTACACATAGTGGCCACTAGTCATATGCTGTGTAGTCATGAATATGGACAAGTTTATATACGGGTGTCTTCCCTTATACAATTCCCCCTGCCAAATCATAGCGTGAACACTGAGTCACCAGCCTTTACAGGGTCTTTTTTTTTTTTTGGTTTTTTCGAGACAGGGTTTCTCTGTGGCTTTGCTTTGGAGCCTGTCCTGGAACTAGCTCTGTAGACCAGGCTGGTCTCGAACTCACAGAGATCCGCCTGCCTCTGCCTCCCGAGTGCTGGGATTAAAGGCGTGCGCCACCACTGCTCGGCCTTTACAGGGTCTTAAGCAACCCTACTGCATAGTCCTAAGTGAACCCAGGAACATACATGTGCCCGTGTTCGTGGTTTTGCATACAGGTGGAAACATGGCTACGGTCATGCTGAACAGACACATACGTGGCAACCCACATGCTGTGTGTGAGTGTGCAGCATTCCCCCTGGGCCCCACCTTGATCAGCTTGGAGAAAGTCTCATAGATGAAGATGAGGGAGATGAGGAAGGAGAAGATCTCCTGGGTGTAGCGGGAGATGAATCGGACCAGAAAGCTGCCTTCGAAGGCCACCACCAACAACACCAACAGAATGAGCCAGAATCCGATCCAAGCGCGGCCCACGATATACTCCAGGTTGTTGTCTTCACAGAACTGCAGGCAGTCAGACAGAGGAATTTGGGTCAGACAGACCTAGGTTTAGCTACCTTGTGAGCATCAGACAGGTGGGCTAGGGTCAGCTACAGGGTTGGGGTCAGTGTGGGGCTACCGAGTAGAAGGCTTCCTCAAACACCAGCAGGGGTCCCGAGAAGCCAAGCACCAGCAGGGGCTGTGCCGCCAGGAGAGCAAAGAGAATGCCTTGTACTGCTGTGGAGATGAGCAGCTCCGAAACTCCCATCAGGTTCCGGGTCTTTTCTCCTGTGGGAAAAAGCCACACAAGGGTCCAGATGGGAGAAATTATTTCCAAGGAGCGAGAGTAAAATCACGGAGCTTGATGTGAGCGTACAGAGCATCAGATTGGGTCAGAGGTGGGGAGGCAAAGGTCAGAGGGTTAGAGGTGGATATTAGGGGGGAAACCATAATTGTCACTGACCCAGGAGGCCACCGAAGGTAACGGCAGGTGACAGGGCAGCAAAGTAGATGAAGATGACGGCAGCCAGGACCTGGGGGCTGAGCGCATCTGTGATGTCACTCAGATAGTAAGGATAACGGCGCCGGATGTCACGTATCAGGCCTCCAAAGATCCGGCCTGTTCGCTGTAGAGGGTCATCCACACCACCGGGGCCTCCTGGGCCCCCATTCAAGTCTGTTGTAGAGAATAGGAACATGGTCAGAGGGAGCAGTAGGAATGGCCGGGGTGACAGGGAAACTTGACCACAGGGACAGATGCTGGGGGTGTCTGATAGGAAAGGGGCACCGTGCTGGGGGTCCAGGGGTTCATGGGGCATCAGGAAGCCCTGTTGAGGACAGAACAGATACCTAGGGTCTTGTATAAGGCAGGGTCTGGCTTGGCGGCACTGGGCAGGTAGCGCCTTCTAAGCAGTTCCTTCTGCACGGGTACCAGGTTGAGCAGAGCTTGTTCTGAAGGGGCGTCGGTCGGTGGCAGTACCAGGCTACAGTCCAGGAAATCCTCCAAGGAGCTCACTAGTTCCCCTCGGCTCTGTGCCAGGTAGGCAGTTGTGCGGAACACCTACAGGCAGGAAAAAGGGTCCGGACACTGGGACTGTAGACAAGAGGCCCCAGGGGAGCAGTCAACCAAGTGATGCCTGCCTGTAGTCTAAGCACTCAGGAGGGGGAGATAGGAGGCCTGCCTTAAGTTTGAGGCCATCCTGGACTACATAGCAAGCTCCAGGCTAGCAAGAGCTACAAGGTAAGATCTTGTCTCAAAGACTTGAATGCTGGACATGTATAGTCAGGGACCAGTCACCAAAATCCTGGCTGTCATTGTAGGGTCTGGTTCTTTCTGTTCCCTCAGACCTCTAAGGACCAGCTTTAGGGAGACAGGCACCCTGGGTGGGGAAGGAGGAGTTAAAGTATCCCCGGAGGGCTAGGCACACCACACAGCAGGTTGGGCCAACACTGGTCACAGTGGGCCAGGCTGGACCGGAGTAGACTAGCCAGCCCAATGCAAGCCAGGATAAGACTGGACCAGCCAGGCCAGAAACAGGCAGAATTCAACCCAATGGATCCAAATAGTGAATTTAAAGTCAGCTAGGCCAGGTCAAAGGGGAGAGGTGTTTTCTTCTTCCTTCCCACCAGTTCCCTGGCAAAGCTCACTCTTTCTGTCATCAGGGTGGCTGCAGCCCGGCCCAGCTGGGTGTAGTTGACGTGGGGAGACTCGGGTCCCAGCAGAACAAAAAGGAAGCGCACAGGCTCTGGCAGCTCCAGGTCCTCCAGCTGCACAGCCTCCTTCAGCCTCACGAGGCCCAGGACAGACTTCTCCAGAAAGTTAGCACAGCCTGTGGGAGGCACCAGATGGTAAAGCCAGGTTTCTAGGACTCGGGAGGGAGCTGCCCAGGGCCTGAAGTGGGGGTCTGTGGAGGGGAAGAGCTCTTACCCACTAGGATCAGAGTGGTTTCTGAATCTGGGGGAATCTTCAGAATCCCAGATGGTGAGGATCCTTCTGGGTCCCCCTCTGCCTATGGGAAGGAAGGTGTGTAAGGGGGTCCTGAGGTCACAGGGAACCTAGGAGGCCTGAGCATCTGGCCTTTGCCTCTCCCAGCCCCTCTCACTCCCAACCTCATTCTGGCCTCACCTGTCCACAGTACAGCTTGGTCTCCAGGGATGGTTCCTGGGGAAGGAGGGGCTCAGAAGGGCCTCCAGAGCGGGTCAGGACGGCAGGCTTCACGCCCTCCAGAGCCTTTAGGTCCTCAGCACGGCTGCGGACCACACAGGTGACATGAGCAGAGTGAGCAATGCGGGCTGAATTTTCCATAAAGGGAGACTAGGCTGGGCGGGACAAAGGTGAACACCCAGTGGAATTTCCCAGGGACCACCCTAGAGAGACCCTAGAGAAGGAAAATAAGAGCCTCCTCTTACAGGACAGTGTGGATGGAGGTAGGTGGCCCTGTCTAGGATGTCTAGGTGGGAACAGGAACGGGCAGAAGGGGCCTCAAGACCATGCTCTCTCTGTAAGTGTGAACTTGAAGTCATGGTCTCCATTTGGGGGTGTCAGATGGATGTAGAAACTATGGTGGAGGAAGAGTCCCTTCTTTCTGCTGGGGTGGGGTTCATCTGGAGTTGAGGAATGGTAGGACGACTTTGGGGTAGAGGGCGGGGAGGAGCCCCTGGGATGGGAAGGCCAGGCAGGTCCCGGCAGGCAGGCGAGCACCTGCGTTTGAGCAGCAGAGCCCGGAGCAGCTCGTCTCGGTCCTGAGGCCGAATCTGGTCATCAAAGATGAAGCTGTCTAGGAGCTTATTGGCCACCCCAGCCAGGGATGTCTCTGCCAGGTCCAGGAGGACGGTGCCTGCAGGCAGCAGAGGGTGAGCTGAATGGCTGGGCAGTGCGGCCCCAGCAAGCTTCCTGTGCAGCAGCCACAGAGGGCCCGGCAGGACTTACCTTTAGAGAAGACTTTCTGCAGTTCGAGAAGGCTCCAGAAGGTGAGGTAAGACAGATGTGGGCGGCCCCACACACCATCCTCTCGTAGGTTTTCCTCCAGCCCTATCCAGTGCGCTGCCTCCACCCACTGTAGCTCCTGGTTCCTCTGGTCCATCATCAGTTCCTGCAGCTCCACATAGACCTGAGGCCCACAGCCTGAGTTAGTCCATCAGGCCCCAGGCAAGCCCATGGGGAAACAACCGGAAGCTTGGATCCTGAGGGCACTTAGCTCTAAGCTAGGCTTAGAAAAGGCACTGGACCCTGAAAGGATCAGGACAGATCTGCTCGGGGCATAGGAAGATCTGCTCGGGGCATAGGGAGATGTGCAAGACCTGGGGGTCTGGCCCACCCCGCTGGATCCATGTCTCATCCTCCTCAGTAAGCCATTACCACAGTTCAGAAGAGGCATGAACCTCTGGACCAAGAGATGTCCCAAGCAGCCATTTGGTCGGAAAACTGTGGCCTGGTGACTGAGGCAGAAGGGGCTCGGGAAGTCATTGGGATCAGTCTCCTGCCTCTAAGAGACTCGGGAAGTCACTGGGATCAGTCTCCTGTCTCTAAGAGATTTGGGAAGTCATTGGGATCAGTCTCCTGTCTCTAAGAGACTCGGGAAGTCATTGGGATCAGTCTCCTGCCTCTAAGAGACTCGGGAAGTCACTGGGATCAGTCTCCTGTCTCTAAGAGATTTGGGAAGTCATTGGGATCAGTCTCCTGTCTCTAAGAGACTCGGGAAGTCATTGGGATCAGTCTCCTGCCTCTAAGAGACTCGGGAAGTCACTGGGATCAGTCTCCTGTCTCTAAGAGATTTGGGAAGTCATTGGGATCAGTCTCCTGTCTCTAAGAGACTCGGGAAGTCATTGGGATCAGTCTCCTGCCTCTAAGAGACTCGGGAAGTCACTGGGATCAGTCTCCTGTCTCTAAGAGATTTGGGAAGTCATTGGGATCAGTCTCCTGTCTCTAAGAGACTCGGGAAGTCATTGGGATCCGTCTCCTGTCTCTAAGAGAGTCGTATTGCCCTGGATCAGACACAGTTTAGGGACCCAAATTCTTTCTCTCTCTCTCTCTCTCTCTCTCTCTCTCTCTCTCTCTCTCTTTCTTTCTTTCTTTTTCCAAGACAGGGTTTCTCTGTGTTGCTTTGGAGCCTGTCCTGGAACTAGCTCTTGCAGATCAAGCTGGCCTCGAACTCACAGAGATCCGCCTGCCTCCCGAGTGCTGGGATCACATCCTGGCCGGGACCCAATTTCTTAACCAGCTAGGCAGTCTGGTACTCAGTGGGGACTTGGATGCTGGGGCAGAGGAGAATGTGCCCTTGATTCTATATTTCCCCGGTGAGTATGTAGCCCAGCTAGGCCTTGAAGCCCTGCTTGGTCCTCAGCAGTAAGCGGTCTGTCCAGGGAATTCAGAAAGGGCCATTTCCCCGTTAGCGAGCATGCCCCTTTCCCATCCACTGGTGTCCAAGGATGACCCCTCCATCCTGCTTGTCGGGGGAGGGTCTCCTCCAGCCCAATTCTCTTCCTATCCCTTTTCATGGGATGTGATGGATCTCAAGGCAACTTGAGAAAGGCTGGAGTCTGGGTCCTCACCTGACTGGAGCTTTGGCGTGATGTGGAGGTGGTGGTTGGGACGTAGTCTGTGGCTGTCGGCTCTGTGGGAAGAGCTAAAAAACCCAGGGTTAGTTAGCGCTGCCTCTGGTACAGCCTCTCACTCGGGCCCTGCTGTACTACTTCTAGGGAGCCAAAGGAACCCAGACACATCCTTCCACTGCCCCTGGGCTAGGATCCCTGCCCAACCCCACATCCACGCCTGTTCTGGGCCAGCTTGGATCTGCCACTCTCCATCTGAGCCTTCCTGAGGAACGCTGAGTTTATTGTCCAAGCCCCTAGCCTGACCCCTCCTCAGTGAGGATCAGGAGAGTCCCAAGTCACAGTATTCAAAATCATCCTAGCATCCCCCCACCCCACATCTGGGACCAGACTTCCTTGCCTCTGCCCACCCGCTCAGCTAACCTGCCAGCTGGTAGCCATTTACCCCACAGGACCCAGATGAGGTGGGCCCCTTATATTGTCCTCATTTCCCAAGGGGGCCTCTTAACTTCAAATCTAATCACTTGCACTTAAACCCTGTTGACAGTAAACAGGTCCCCGCCTCAGGCTCCCCACCTAAGACCTTGGTTAGGCCAAGGAAGGTGGTGTGAACTCCTGGGGTCCCCACAGTTCTCTCTCATTTCTCAGGGTCTCCAGCTGTCTAGACAGAATGAAGCTTCAGCAACAGACATGCGGCTTGTCCTCCATGCTGATGTGGGACAGACAGGGTAGCCACTGGGTTTGTGTCCTTGTCCCAGACATACCTGGCTGCCCTGTCACATGTGAAAGGAGCCCAACCACCCCAGTCACCTCCTGTGATCATTTCAAACAAAACATTGTTTAACCTTCAATCAGCCAGGATTGTGGGGAGAACTGGCACCAGGGCTGGGGCTGTGGAGCCGGGAAGGACTGGGTCCCTACTGTCCCTAGGGGAAGGCAAGGGATGGCTCTCACCTTCTGGCTCCTGCATCTGGGTCACAGGGATGTCGAGGTCTCTGTATGCTATCTGTTCTATGACCTCCTCCAATTCGTCTTCGCTGTCCTGATCTGGGATCTCCAGTACTTCCTCATGGTCCTGTGGGAAAGGGCCATCATGGTTGGGTTAAGTGGCTACCCAAGTCCCCTGAGGAGCAGCTCAGATTGGCTTCTGGAGATGAAGGAAGGAGCCCTGCACAGATCAACAGACACTTACCTGCACGTCCCCCATGATGCTGTCCTCAGTGTCCAGTCGTCCCCGGCTGTCTGAGCCCCCAGCATAACCCGCACCTCAGGTCCCTGAAAGAGGGGTGTAGGCTAAATGACGCAGTCATATCACCCTCAATTGGCCTCCTGCTGCTTCTGGGTGCCCCTAAGGGAGCTGACTTTTAGTGTTAGGAGAGCCCTGGGGATAGGAGATGGATCAGATGGAGGCAGAGGACATGGAGGAAGACATTGAGTTTGTAGGTGTATGGATATGTGGGCTGAAAGACAGGCGGCATCAGCATGGCTGCCTTCTTCTTCGTGCATTTGAGACAAGTTAAGTGGCGTGATGTCTAGCTCCAACCTGTGTCTGCCAGGCCTTACCGAACTTCTTTTTCTGAGTCCCAAGGACTCAGCTAACTCCCAGGACATGGCCTGTCCCTTCTTCAGGGGACTTGTCTCCCCTGAGAGTCTCCACAATATAGTCTCTTCTAGAATTGGCTGCTTCTGCCTGTACAACAGGTTGCAGTGTCCTCGGGAGGGGCCCACAGATCCTGAAGGACGTGAGCCTGCTTTCTCCTCTCCATGTGGGGCTGGAGAGATGGCTCAGAGGTTAGGAGCACTGACTGTTCTTCCAGAGGTTCTGAGTTCAATTCCTAGCAACCACATGGCGCCGCCTCTCCATTTAAACCCTACCTCCCTGGCTTGTTTAATCCCCTATCTATTGTTTACACATTCATCACCCACTCTGAGACACACTTTCCATCTTTCTTTTATCTCAGTTCCAGTATCACCCTTTCCAAGGCCTTCCTTAACCACCCTGCCAGTCCCTGACCCAGTCGGGCATGGTTTCTTCATTGATTTGTGTACAATTAATTTTCTGACACGTCCTTTGGAAAGGAGGACACTTGCAGGTAAAGTCTTCATGGAGTCCGACACCTAACTGGCATCCTATGTCACAGACCAAGCCACAGAACCTTGGCCTCCATTTTCTCAAGACAAAAGTGTATCCACACCAGGATGTGGGGATGGTCATCTAATGTGTCAATTTGTATGTGGGGGGACTTTCGTTCTCCTCTCACTCACTGTCACCTAGAACATTGGGGTGACCAGCATTTGGGTGGGGTCATCAGGTGTAGCCGCTCAGCTGAGCACAAGAGGCTCAGTTAAGCATGTCTTTGCTCTTAAGATGACTTAAGTGGTTTCTACATGGATGGAGCTTAAGAGGCCCCTTGTGCTGGACGCTGCAGAGAGCGTTATAGGAGGAAGAGGAGGACTCAGGTGCAGGGCACAGAGACCTCAGGAGGGGTCTCAAGAGCTGGGCAAAGATGGCCAGTCTGGGCGTGAGGAGTAGGCTAGGACAGAGAGATGGGGTGGGGGAGGACAAAGGAGGGCAGGGTGCAGCAAGCAGAGGGGCGACAAGTGGAGGGCAGGGGACAGGGCACAGGCAGCAGAAGATGGAAGGGCAGAGGATGGGATCCAAGGGTCAGAGGCAGAGGGGTGAAGCGGGGAGAGCAGGAGGGTGGAAGTAGAGTCATGCAGTCATGCAAGGAGGCTTGCAAGGGTCTAGGGCAGGGCGTACATTTAGAAAGAATCATACAGAGAACTTTCTGGGTCTTGTACAGTCCTGAGGTTCTGAGGGGGAGAGGCACTGTCAAGTCCTTGGGAGTGGCAAGTGACAGCCACGAAAGAGTTCTCAAGTCCAAGAATGGGACATCCTCTGCTAGGACTTTGTCCTTGGTAGCCCTGGCTATCCACCGTTCCCCTTTCTCCTTGCTGTCTTTTCCATCTTCCTTTCCCAAAACCCCCCACCCTGTTCCTCTATTCTGTCTTCATTTTTCTCTTTTCCTTCTCTGGACCTACCCACACTGCTTTCTGGTTGGGCCTCAGATCCTGAGGTACCAAAAATCCCACTATGGGGCTGGCACTGAGGCCTTGCTTCTCCTGAGGGACAAGATGGCATAGCCAGGGATCCAGAGTTCCAGGCTTGCCTCCCTGACCGTGACCGAACCAAACGCCTTGGGCAGCTCTCAGGTATCTGTGGTCACCCATCTGTTAGATGCCAACTTCTGGGAACTCAGTCAGAGAGAAGAGAAGGATCAGGAGGGGCCTGGAGCTCAGCTGAGCCTTGAAAGGTGCCCCAGGACCCAGGTTGTCGCCTGTTGTCCCGGCCCTGTTAGCGCTGCCCCACTCTGCCTGCAACTGATAAGAGCCTGGCCTCCAGCCAGCAGTGTCTAGGTCTGGAAGCACCCCAAACACCTGGAGGGCCAGCCGTCAGCTGGGTCAGATAAGGGAAGAGTGGGGACATCTGGAGCCCAGGAGGTAGAGCCCACCAGCTGAGAAGGCACAGGCGGGAGGGGGACGGATGACAGAGCCAGTTCCCTGGTGGCACAAGACTACACCTCACAAGCAGCTGTGATGCCCCATCTCTCTCCCAGCCCCCAGCACACTCTGCTAAGCGGAATCCAGTAACGGCAGCGGCAGCGTTTGACAAAGCCAAGGTTCAGAGGAGTTCATCTACTTCAGTGGCACGGGATGTTGGCATAAGAGGCAGGATGAAACCTGGCCTGCAGCTCCACGAACTTCTCCCTCTGAGAACCTCCGAGCTGCCTCCCAGAGTTAGAACTTAAGACACAGACTCTGTCGTCAGACCACCTGTGTTCATTATTTAATCTCGGCCATGCAATTTAAGGTAACTGAGCCTCAGGCTTCTGTTTTTGTTTTTTGTTTTTGTTTTTTTTTCATCTGTAAAATAAAACTGGTAAGAGTGATTCCTATGTGATAGGCCCTTTGTGCAGACTAAGTCCATGCAGAGAACGCATGGCCTGTGCCTGGCACACAGTCTGTCACCTGCCACAGCCATCCGGGTCAGGCTGGGTATCGTCACCCTCCCTGATTTGCCTCCAGCTCCTATAGAATTAGCTTGAGCTAAGAGGCTGCCGACTCTCAGTGGAGAGGGGCTTTTTCTTTCCCTTTCAATACTCTCTGAGATGGGGGCAGTGCCAAGCTCCCAAGTAGACCCCTAGAAGTGTCCCATATGGAAATCAATGTTGGCTGGTATATGGTCTCCCAGGTGAGAGATGGGGTGGCCTGAGAATGCCCCACATTTGAAGGAAAGAAGGGCCTGGGAGGAGTGAGGCCTGAGTCCATGGGACTCGTGGGGCTGGGAGATAGAAAGCAGGTAGAACCCGTGGTGGAATGTCTCAGCTCTGCTCCCAACATGCTCTCCGACCACACACACACCGCTCTGTATGGAAACTGCCCTCATCCTGCCACTGGTTCACTGAGGGACTACTTGCACATGGTCGCATTGCCATCCCACCCACCTGCACCTCCTTGGAGGTTAAGGGTCATACCCCTTGGACACAGATTTAAGCTGACCACCTGCACAAACCCTCAGGACAGATGCCTAAGGACCACCCAGCCACTCCCTGCCCTGCCCTGCCCACCTGCTCAGGAGCCTTGGGGGTCCTTCGTGAGGTCCTGCCGCCGCTGGTGCCCTGTGCGACTGGCTGAGCTCCCAACCGCTCTAACAGCACCGGCAGGTGCCCTGGGGGAGGCTCCCAAACCCCTGACTCATGCCCTTGCCTCCTAATCTGCCCGCCCCACAGCCGGGAGCCCCTTCCCACCCCACCCCCTTGCCCCGCTCCAACTGGGTGCCCCATAAACAGAGTTATCTCTCACCCACATCTGGGCAGCTGTGCATCAGGCATACCCCACCCAGCCTGGCCAGCTCCTAAGGCCTTTGGGCCCTTCTGGCCCCTGGGGATCCCTCTGCATCTGCCTTCATGGACTGAGGCTTGAGAGCTGAGTTCTCGGGACTTCTGGGGCTCTGGCAGGTAGTCACTGGCCCCTGGACACACGTCTGCCCAGCCTCTGTCCACTCTTCACTCTGGCCAGGTCTTCTCTGGCCCCAAGTCTCAGGGCATCTCTTCTACCCATGTCTTCCCTCAAGACTGGCTTTTCCTTGGCAGCCTCCCAAGGCACCTGTCATGGGACTCCATTGAGTCTCTTCTTCTGGTCTCTGACTAGAGTACCTTAGCTAGGTACTTCCTCAGACCCCACTGGCTCCTGAGAGCTGGCCTCTAGGAGCCACGGCCCTAACCGTCAACCTGAAACAATGTCCGGTCGAGAAAACAACTGTCCCCACATGAGCCCTAGCTCACAAAGCGTCAATGTCTGGGCACACTGGCTCCTCTGTGGCAGCCCAGCCCAGGCCCCTAGGCAGAGCAACTGCATTCTTGGCCCCCGCGCTCTCCTCCCATCCCATCGCCAACGGGGCTGTTCTCTCCCTCGTTGAGGCACCTATCTCTGACTGACAGGTGGGTCCCACTGGGGGTGGGGGAATGAAGACCAAGTGGGCTACTGTGGACCTGGGGGACGGGAATGCTCTGCCTGGCTCCTTCACTGACTGACTGGCTGTGAGAGTCACCACAGCCTCCTGGTCTCTTGGAGCCTTGGTTTCCTCTTCTACCAAGAGACATTCCCAGGAGCGGGGCTGGAGCTCAGTTGGTAGAGTGCTTGTATAGTCTGCAGCAAACCCTGCTTTAGATCTCAACAATGCATAGAACTGGGTGGGGCGGACTCGCTGTACTCCCAACACTCAGGAGGTGTTCTCCCAGACAGAACTCTACAGCGGAGGCACGTGGATCAGAAGTTCAAGGTCATCCTCGGCTAGGTACTCACTTAGTTCAAAGCCAGTCTGGGACACTTGAGGAGAGAAAGAGCCTGTGAATGAGAGTGAGCACTCAAGTCTCCCCTGCCCCCACACACGCACAGACCAAGTTCAGGCTCCAACAATAGAAAATTTTAGAGCCCGCCAAATTTAGCTTATCAACTTGTCTCGACCACGAACTTGTGCTGGCTGAATCCCTGCAGACCTAAAGGGACAGAGTCCTCTAAAGTAGAAGGCCTCTGTTTCAGGGGCTGTGCTGGGGGTTCAGCTGAAGTCATGCTCAATTTTCTCAAGTGCCCTGTGCAGAGGAAGTACCTAAATTGACAGAGAGGGGATGTGGCTTCCTGTAAGCAAAATGACCAGGGGACAGTACTTCTCCATGCTGGGCACCAAGTCTTTGTGAGCTCATGAAGCCCTCAGGGTGAGGGGCTTTTCATGCAGCTTTTATTTATTTGTTTTCTCTCTCTCTCCTTTATTCTTTTTATTTATTTTTTCCTGGGTGTGGTGGCACATGCCTTTAAACCCAGCACCTAGGGGCTGGAGAGATGGCTCAGCGGTTAAGAGCACTGACTGCTCTTCCAGAGGACCCGGGTTCGATTCCCAGCACCCACATGGCAGCTCACAACTGTCTGAAAATGCAGTTCCATGAGATCTGACACCTTCACACCAACGAACATAATAAAGTTAAGTAAATAAAAAAAAAAAGTTTAAACCCAGCACCTAAGAGGCAGAGGCAGGTAGGTGGATTTCTGTGAGTTCAAGCCTGGCCTGGTCTACATACTGTTTCAGGAGAGCCAGAGATTTGTAGAGAGATCCAGTCTCAAATTTTTTTGTTTGCTTTTTAAATACAGGATTTCCCACAGTTCAGGCTTGTCTTACACTTGCTATGAAGCTGAGGATAACCTTGAACTTCTGCTTCTCTGTTCTGAACTACGGATCTGCAGTGCCGTGCCCGTGCCCACTTTATTCCGTGCTGGGGATCAACTCAGGCTTTGTGTGTGTTGGGCAACACTAGCAACTGCACCGCATTCCTCAGCCCACTGTTAGTTAGCCTTTCACAGGAAGCCTCCCAGCTCAGACCTCGCTGTCTGCCTCACCAGGCAGGAGAGGGGCTTCTTGACATGAGGCGACCTGCACCTCATAGAGGGGTGAAGAGGAGGAGTAGGGTATTTGCCTGGGGCTGTGATTATTGAGAATGGTGTCCCTTAATAACCTCATGGCCCCTCGTCCACGCCCTGCTGTCCCAGGAGAGCCACTGACTTTCTGTGGAAGAAACTACTTCCCCATAGACAAGGGACCCAGATTCCCATTATCCCTCCATTCAAGGGGAGTCTCCCACAGTCCAGCTTCTAGAAACTGTTGGGACAGGAAGTTCTGCCACTTTGCTGTGTGGCTGCATCCTTTCTCTGGTCATTCCTTTCTTCTGTGGACTGTTGGGACCAAATGGGAGTGACAGATGGCTGGGAGTTTGAAGATACAGTCCCCTTTGGATGCAGGGTGGGGCTGAGTTGAGGAGGAGGGTTACTGAGCCTGGACTGTCTCCTGGGTAGGTGGTTGCTTGAATTGGGTCCTCAGAACATCCATCCTTAGGAACTCGCATCTAGTGGGGTAGATGATAGCAACCCACAATAACCACAAAGTCTGAAGGCGAGAGTGTGGTAAAGAGCAGGGGAACCAGCTCGCCTTTTAATCCCAGCACTCAGGATACAGAGGCAGGTGGATCTCTGTGAGTTCGAGGCCAGTCTGGCCTACAAAGCGAGTTCCAGTATAGCCAGAGCTGTTACACAGAGAAATCTTGTTGAAAAAAAAAAGTGGGAACTGAGGGGGTTGGAGAGATGGCTCAGTGGGTAAGAGCAGTGACTGCTTTTCCAGAGGACCTGAGTCCAGTTCAATTCCCAGCACTCACATGACAGCTCACAACTGTCTGTAATTCCAGTTCCAGAGAACCAGACACCCATGGCAAAACACCAATGCTCATAAAATAAAAATAAGTAAATTCAATTTAAAAAAGAGTGGGGACTGAGGAGACAGCACTAGAAAGTCCTAGTCATCCCCAGGGAGTAATCTGAGCTGAACCTTGAAGTATTTTAGGGGAAGAGAGCTAGGAATGGGGTTGGGGGGGGGGCAGAGGAGAAGAAGGGCAGTCACAGGGAGCACACAGAGGAAGATGGGGGATGCACATACAGTTACGGCTCCAACACTCTTGAGGGAGCATAGTAAGGAGTGGGAGGTAGCACAGGGACTAGAAAAGCCACTCTTTCTCTGGGTGCCCTCATCTGCCTGGCCAGCACCCTTAGCTGGGCCTTGGGACTGAAAGGAGAGGACTCTCCTAGGTGGGGTAGCAGGGCCAGGTCTGTGAGGATAGCTGGCGTTAGGCCTCCTTTTAGAATATACACACAAGGGGTTGCTCTTCAGGTCCAGAGAGGTGGGCATGGTGCTACTGCTTGCCCCAGGTGACAGGTAAGGGCTTGGCTGGCTCGGGAAGGGGTCTCCCAAAATACAGTATCTTCTTGAGGAGCCCTTGGACTCTGGACTCTCCATCAGATATGTGCTCTCCTGAGAATATTCTCTGCTTTCTTGATTTCTGGGCCTTTCATGACCCTTTGCTTGTCCTGAGACACCCTTCATCCCCAGTCCCAAACCCACTGAGCTGTGACCTTCAAGGATCAATGCTTGTACTCCTGACTCTGTCCTGAGATTAGGGTGGGGGGAGGGGATCAGCTCAGAGGTACTAGATGTCCTCACACCTCACCGCTCCCTGCTGTGGCAGGTCTTCCACGCCTGACTCCTCTCCACCGACCAGAAGACCCAAGGACAGAAACCATCGGTCTCAGGACCTTCGCTCTGTCCCAAAGCACCATGGTTTGTTTTTTAATGATTTATTTTTATTTTATGTGCATTGGTATTTTGCCTACATGTATGTCTGTGTGTGAGTGTCAGATGTTGGAGTTACAGACAGTTGTGAGCTGCCATGTGGTTGCTGGGAATTGAACCCAGGTCCTCTAGAAGAGCAGTCAGTGCCCTTAACCACTGAACCATCTCTCCAACCCTTGTTATTGTTTTTTGAGACAAGGTCTTACTCCATAGCTTCGTGCCCTTGGTCCTCCTGCTTTGGCCTCCCAGGCACTGGGACCCCAGATGTACACCTGGCTTCATAGTCCCTGTGTTTGTGGATTTGAATGGGATCTGGGCAAAGCTGGGTCTCTAATCACACCGCCAAAGTGTAGTAGAGACAGCAGTGCTTGGGAAAGGTCATAGGAATACATAGTGACAGTCTTTTTATTTCTAATCATTTCTTTTGGTTTGTTGGTTGGTTAGTTTGTTTGTTTTACAAGACAGGGTTTCTCTGTGTAGCCCTGGCTGTCCTGGAACTCCCTGTAGACCAGGCTAGCCTTGTGTTCTGACTCAGTTCTGAGACAGTCAAGGCTACACAGAGAAACCCTGTTTTGAAAAAAAAAAAAGAAAAAGAAGAAAAAGAAAAACGACATGTCAATCATGTACTGCTCCTGTGTGTCAGGTCCTGGCTCCCATTCATGACTCAGGCCTTAGTTCCCTTTAGCCTCCTTTAGCCTCTCAACTGGACACAATCCCATGCCTCTGTGGCCGTGACAAGGAGAAGCAAGATGGATTGTATATGAGCAAAACCCCAAACTCTTTGTGGCTTAAACAAGACAGAAGTTTATCTCTCTCTGCTGACACAGAAGCCTGGAGGTAGGAGGTCCCAGAATGCAATGGAGCTCTGTAGGTCTTTCTGCCCATCGTCCGTCATCTTTAGCAAGTAGCTTTTCCCTTTTGGTCCAGCATGGCTGCTTGAGCTTTAGCTGTCCCTTC